TTTACCTACCAACTCATTGGTAGAACCTTGATGCTGTGGCTTGGGTCTTTCTTTCTCATTTTTTCTTCCTGTTCTCCCAGATCTTCCCCCATAGTAAGAGCCTAGAGCCACAGTTCCTGTGGCAGTGGGGAGAGCCCACTGCCCAGGCAAGAGGTCATAGAGGAAGTGTTGGAGCCAGAGATTCTGACCTAAGAGCTTATTTCCACACTATTTTGAAAGACTCTTCATGGTTATTATTGATTTCTGAATATCCAGAGATGATCTTTATTCATTCAGAAAATATTTATTAATATTTATTAAGCTGTGTGCCAGTCATCATTTTAGGTGCTGGCTGGGGGAGCAGCAGTAAATAGGACGAAGATCTGTGCCCCGGTGTGACTTGCATTCTAGTTATGGGTTACAGGCAGTACACAATAGCCATCTATATAAGAATATTATATATTTTAGAATGTTAAGTCATATATGCTAAATAAATATTCAATTCATATCTATTGAATATAATGTTAAGTAAATTAATAGTATTTTTAATATATATTGGAAAAAATAGAGCACGTAATTAAGGGCCCTATTTCAGACGTAGCTTTCAGTCCATGCTCTTCATTTGGTCCCCATCTCAATCCTTAAGAACACATCAGGCATTCTCATGCTCCCGGGCCCCATGCCTTCTGTCCCTTTGACTACTCCCATGGAAAAATCACAGAAGCAGGATGTCTCAGCCTGGTTGGGGTTTCAAGATCATTCTGTCAAGCAGTTTCCACCTTGATTCTGCCACGCTCCTACCCAGTGATGATGACACATGTGGTCAACTCCCCTAGGTGCTCCCCAGCACCCCTGCCACGTTACCCTAACACTGTTCACACACGGAGCTTTCCAAGAACTGACACAAGGTAGGCTGCTTTTCTCAGAATCCAGAACATATTGTCCTTTTATAGGAAGAGTGGCAGCAGTGTCCAAGTTCAAGGAACTTCTGTGGGTGATGCCACAGCAGCCTTCTCTCTCACAGGTAATGGCTCTAGTCCAGAACCTCTGTTCATCTCTTTGCTGCAGTATAAAGAATTACATTAAGATGAGGACACAAAGACCATCCAGAAGACAATGCATTAAGGAGTAAATGAGTAAGTCATAGCAGCGTAAGGGAAATTTAAAGACCTCAGAAATCACTGTACACACAACTGGAGAGGGACAATTGGTTATTATCAAGTGACTGTCAAATGTCAGATTTGGGCACATAGAAGAGGTCAGAATATCTGTCCTGGACCAGTGGGAAATGGAGATATGAAGATAGCTAAGACCTTGTAAGAAACACTTAAATGGGACTTCCCTGATGGTATAGATAAGAATCCACGTGCCAATGCAGGGGACATGGGTTCGATCGCTGGTCCAGGAAGAATCCACATGCCACAGAAAAACTAAGCTGGTGCATCACAACTACTGAAGCCAACAAGCCTAGAGCCTGTGCTCCACCACAAGAGAAGCCACCACAATGAGAATCCCATGCACTACAACAAAGAGTAGCCCTAGCTCACTGCAACTAGAGAAAGCCCGCACACAGCAGTGAAGACCCAGTGCAACCATAAATAAATAAATAAAATTATTTTTTAAAAATCACTTAAGTGAACTGCAGTTCTTTGAGCCTAATCTTAGCATAGCTATTGGCTAGTTTCAGATATGCAGTTTGGCAGAAAATCTTATGTGACGCACTGTTTTTTGTTTGTGTTGGTTGGTTTTGGGGTGGGGGTTTTGGCTGCACCACATGACTTTCAAGATCTTAGTTTTCCAACCAGGGATCGAACCCAGGCCTGGCAGTGAACATGCTGAATCCCAACCACTGGACCCTAGGAAATTCTTCCCAAAGCACTATTATATTTTGTGAACTCAGAAGGACTCCCTGCCCAGAATGTTTAAGTTCAAAGTGTCTAGTTGAGACTTGCACAATTCTGACCCTTGTTGAGAAAATGAAATTAGACTCCATTTGGACCACATTTGACCTGATGATGTTCAAGAACCCCTAAAGCCAAAAAATATTCCCAAATGAACATAAATTGCAAAATGAGATTAGATATGCTGGAGAATTTGGTGATAATCTGGATTGTAAAGTGATAGAAGAGAGAGATGGTTTAGGATTCAGTTCCAAAAACTCTTTATGAAGTAGATAAACATTCTTAACCTGAGGCAAGATCAGATTATGCCTGCCTTGGGGCATCCTCGGCCTCTTCCTACTAGATACCAGACCATCATCGCTCCCCATCCCCAACCCCCAGCTCTCACGACTGAAGATGTTTCCAGACTTGGCCAAATACCCCCTGGCGGGGGAAATTCCCTCACCTCTTTCCTGTTGAAATGAGAACCACTGCACTAGAATGACCAGCTTCCCATTTTGCTCATGATCAAGGAATTTAGCATGTAGGACCTTTCACTGCTAAAACCAGGACAGTCCCATGTAACCCGAGGCAAGTTGACCACCTGGCTGTCATTGATATGTTCTATTTCATACAAAGTAAAGATATAAGAAATGAAACAATATAAAAAGTCTGTCCTTGGGAAACATGGACAAAGGTTTTAGAGAAACGTGTTATTTTAGAGTTTTGTCTTTTTACTCAGTGTCTCTAAAGCCTGAGCCATGGTGAGATGATTTGGGGAGGTTTGATCTCTGCCAGTAGACCGAGAGAACATGATTCAAGTCATGCCACCTTTCCAGCAGAGAGATTCTTGTTTGACGCCAGGTAGCAAGTTTGAGTGACAGGCTTCTCCTTGGAATTGTAGGCTGTGTGGCAGTATACATCATGAAAGTGACAGCAGCAGTGGAATCTAATTTAATTCCGTTTCCTTTGCAGCCCTGATAAATCATTGCTGCAGGGAAAAATGAATTTTACTTTCTCAGACAAAAATGATTTGAGTAATGATGTGCTCTGGGGAAGTCGGGGGCTAAGAGAAGGTCTGTAGTAGGCTTAAAAATATTTAAATGGCACATCATGGAATTTGTTCCAATGCCTCCTGTGCCTGGCCTAATAAATGGCTTATACCAGAAGGGCTGCTTCCCAGACTATTTGGAAGAGTCACATAAAATCATATCAACCATCTTGGCTAACTGTTGTTTTAGGGTGCCTTGGAAAGGGTATTTGATGATAGTGTGGCATATTCTGCATACATTGGCAGATTAGACAACTAAGATAAAGATTCTAGAGCCTGTAGTCCTGATCATTTACAAATAGGACAAATCTCAACATGAATGGAAAATGACTGGTGTTTGTCATCTTCCTTCCAGAAAATTGATTGTTGCTTAGGAATATGGTTCTGCTGGGAGGCTTTTAAAATGATACAGGGAATGAGTTATGGAGGGAGGAAGGCTTGGACCCCAAAGTACTATCAAGAGGCTGGTGAGTCTGGGGTGGGGAGGGGGCGAGTGTAGACAGAACAGTGGAGAATGGTTTCTAACGCTTGAAGGGAGACAAAAGTACTTGGTCTAAGCTGAACAATGCCTAGCTTACTTTGGGGAGCTTCTACAATCCCATTTCAATCCACTGAAAGCACGAGAAACCAATTTGCCGATGAGTAGAATCAACTTCTCCTTGTATGACACAGTGGCATATCACGCTGGGGTGTGGGGGCAAGCAGTAGGGGACCCGGGGGACCTGGTGATCGTGACCACTTCCCGCAAGCCAGCCCAGCGCTCCTTTCCCACTTTCAACGTCAGTCCCAGTTACCCTCCAGCTTCAGTGACTGAAAGAATAAATCCTAGGCGAAAGCTGTAAAATCCTCTGTTGGGAAGCAAGCCTCTTCCTAGTGGAGCAAAGGGAAGGTAAATTGAGCAGTTACTGCAGAAACGATTTTATGAGAGTGAGACATTCTGCATTACAGCAGCAAAAAGAACCGTTCTGTGAATTATAATACTGCTCTGCATGCCCCTCACAGTGCACCTATGGCAGTGGCCTTCATCTGATGCCCACCCGGCTTCAGGGGAGAGTCTGATTTCCCCATTTATTTTAACCGTGATAAATGGCCCAGAGCTTTCTTTGAGTTAGGTCTGGCCAACCATCAAAAGTACGTATTTGTGTTTTAAAAAGCTGGTCCTGGGTACTATCAGAAAGAAGAGAAGCAATTTGGGAAGACATACAAGGTGCACAGTATTTTACTGGCTCTGGATGTCATTTAAACCCCGTGTCCAAGAAGGGGATTTGGAGTTTATTACCCTGGTATCCCCCCTCTCTTAGCTAGATCAGCTTGCAATTCACAACTGCTTCTTGATGTTTTTTATCGCCAACTGCCGAGAGCCTGCGTCCTCTCTCTGGGCCTGATGTACTGCTAGACGTCGGTGTCCCAGGCACTTAGCTGTAGGCACCAGCCCAGAAAGAAGATAGTAGCAACCAGAAAAACAGAAAGCCCCAGAGTAGAGTCGGGGGGGGAATGAAGTCATGCAAACATATTACAGGAATATATAGGGAATGTTCTGGGCCTGCAGAAAGCTGTGAAGTTTGCCTCAGAAGGAAAGCAAAATGAAGCAAAACAAAGCTTAATCAGTCCTCGGTCACTAACGGTCCTGGGGTTTTCCTTGGGTTTTCTTTGTTTTGAGAATGTATTTTGCAAATGGCTGCCCGGGTCCCTGTTCCAGAGAAATGGCTCTGTCATTGCCTTAGTTTCCTGGGGCTGCAGTAACAAATTGTGGTGAACTGGATGGCTTTAAGACAACACATGTTAATCCTCTCCCAGGATGGAGGTCAGAAGTCTGAAATCAAGGTTCCTTCTGGTTAACCAATCTCTTCTGTACCTCTTTCCTGCCTTCTATGGTCTATGGCCATCCTACATGTCCTAAATACTAACATGAACAGAGGACAGTTTAACAGTGATGAAGACCAGGGAGATAGGGACCAAGTGGCTGTGGAGAGGAGAGCGGAAATAGAAGTCCTCTGATTTCTCTAGTAGTCGATTTCTCTGAAAAGATGTGGTAGCAGGGTGAGGCACTGGACAGACTCTAATTGTCGTTTTTCTTTCTTTCCTCTTAGCAAACTGCCCAGTTGGGCTAGAGCTGTTGTTCCCAAAATATTTTATGTAACAGAGAAGGCATGGAACTATTATCCCTACACAATTACAGGTAAGTCCTTGTATACCCAGTATGTCACAAGTATCCATGCAAGGACACAGGGGGATTCAGATTTCACTGATTGAGCGAGGATTATCCCAGCAGGGACTCACAGGAACCCTGTGACACCTCCCTGACCCTTTGTCTCCATACTTTTAAGTCAACACTCTTCCTAGCAGGAGGTTGTAGGGGTTAAGCTAAACTATTCTATCTTCCTTCTTGAAGTGATCATTGTAAATAGCATATGGAGAAGAAAAAGGAAGCTCTACTTAGTGACACTTCTAGAGGTTTCATTATCCTTATTTCTCCCTCTTTTCTCAATAATCTCCAAGTAATTTTAAGGTGTGGTTTGTTCATAATCAGGTTGTTTATTTTGACTTCTTTGCTTCACAGACACCCTCCCCACACACAAACTGAACAGAACTTGACTGTTTTTATCATTTATGTAAAAGGTTCTGTTGGGTCTCTCAGCTCCAGACCCCTTCCTCTGCAATCAGATAATATGAAAATCAGTTTCCTCCTCACTTGTAGTGGAGTGATAATGACACTCAAAATGTTGATACTGAGCTAGAAACTGGCCAAAAATTTAAAAGGTTTGGTTCCTGACCTCAAACACATGAAAATTCAAGGTCCCATTTGAATATCAGCCTAACAAGCTCTTTTTATTGGTTTTAAAAGCTGCTTTTCCACTTAAAAGATTTCCTTTGTGGTTAATGAAATGCTCTACTGGAATTATTAGTCTTTAATTCTGCTTTTCTAAGGCCAACTCTTTAGTTTTTAATTACCCACAAGCCTATAGGCTAATTGAATCTTGTCTTACACTCCTTATCTACCCAACCACAGAAGTATCATATGAAAGAGTTTCAAGAACAAACATGGAGACGCTTAGTATTTATGAAAGTTTAATTCTCAGAAGGTTTCTTTGCCACATTTTTAATAGTTATAATTCAGCAATATTTGTTAGTTCTGTGGTTTTATATTGCATATAAGTATGGTCTTAATCTATCATTTTCTCTTTTTTCTTTTCCCTCTTGCCCAAATGAACATCTGGGACCAGAATACACAGTAAGTTTCATTTAATCATTTAAAAATATTCAGCCTAAGATCAGAGGAGTAATTGGAACTTCCCTTGTACTTCTCATCTTATTAATGTAATTTAAAAAATAGAGGAATACTTCAGAATCAGAAATATTTAAATATATGCCATTATATAGTTATATACAGTGCAATAATTTGAATGTTCTCATTTGTTCAAGAATATGAATGTAACTTAAAATGCCTTCATAGTCACTTTACATTATTAACTTTTGCTTGTATTTTTAAATAGCTTGACTGCTCTACTTGTGGTAGTTCACTCTAATAGAACAATTTCTAGCAATGTGGTATTAAAGAGATGATGGTAATTATTGATGGTGGGCGAGGCTTTTCCTTATAGTCTGTGATCTGATCCCTTATAGAAAGACTTTGAAACTAGAAAGGCATACATTCAAACTATTTTACTCAGATTGAACAGTCTCAGTGACTTGATAAAGTCATTTAATTTCTTCCTGTCCTAAGAGCCTCTAGCATCATTGCTTACACTAAAAAAGAAGTCTCTAATGTCATTGTGTTGGTATTTTCATATGGATCATTTTCCTCAATGGCAAACAGATCTAACTCTCATAAGAAGAAAATGGTTAACTGAGCTCACAGGTTTAAGAGTGTTCACACTGCTGTATTTAAAATGGATAACCAACAAGGACCTCCTGTATAGCACACGGAGCTCTCATCAATGTTATGTGGCAGCCTGGATGGGATGGGAGTTTAGGGGAGAATGGATCCATGTATATGCATGGCTGAGTCCCTTCACTGTTCACCTGAGACTGTAACATTGTTAATCAGTTATACCCCAATACAATATAAAAAGTTTAAAAAAGGGGGAAAAGCAAGATAAAAAATAAACAGGGGGTTATTTTTTATTTGTTCTTAAAGAAAAAAGACAGTATTTTTTACTTTAATTTTAAAAAGACTGAGTCTTTTTTAAAGATTCATTTATTCTTATTTGTTTTATGTTTGGCTGTGCTGGGTCTTCATTGGCTGCTTGCAGGCTTTCTCCGGTTGTGGGGAGAGAGTGCTGTTCTCTAGCTGCGGTGCAAGGCTTCTCACTGCGGTGGCTCCTCTTGTGGAGCACGGGCTCTAGAGCAGAGGCTTTGGTGGCTGTGGCACAGGGCCTTAGTTGCTCCAAGGCATGTGGGAATCTTCCCGGACCAGGGATCAAATCCCTGTCCCTTGCAGTGGCAGGAGGATTCTTAACCACTAGACCACCAGGGAAGTCCTGAGTGCTTAGTTTTAGTCAGAACAGCCAAAGGTTGGGACTTCCCTGGCAATCCAGTGGTTAAGACCCTACACTTCCGCACATCCCTGGGTGGGGGACTAAGATCTTACATGCAGTGTAGTACAGCCAAAAACAAAAACAAACAAAAAACAGCCAGAGGAGAGAGAGAGGGTAAGAAAGACATGGAGAAAAGTGATTTGTGATTTCCTTGGCATGAGCATGATTCCCTGCACTAGTGAATGACAGAAGAAATGCATGGGTCAGAGGTAGATGGATAGTCCCAACAGATACGAAAGTGTCACCTGTTTTGAGACCTCTGGCTCTGCCACTTACTAGCTGAATTTCTTGAGGAAGTGACCCTCAATTGCCAGTTCTTGAACTCATGATGGTCCATGACTACACGCTCACCCACCCTTTACAAAATGGGGGGAGAAAAAGCTTTCCATAAAATTAAATTTATTCCACTTAAAGGACTGTTGTAATTAGAACCCTCATTCTTGGATATTAAAATGTCTTTTCTTTCATGAAATGAAGGAATATACATTTAGCACCATCTCCAATCTTCGGGAGAAAAAAGGCAATTCTATGGCAAAACAACTTTTATAATTTGGAAATCAGAGAAACACTGTTCTAGAACAAGAGCTTAACTTCTGTGAACCTAAGTTTCTTCATCGCTAAAACTGAGATAATCCCCTTTTAATAGATCTGTTAGTATTAATAAAAATGATTCAGTGATCCAACACAGGGATCAGAAGACTTTTTTGTAAAGAGTCATATAGTAAATACTTTCTGCCTGTGGGCTGAACAGTCTCTGTCCTTGAGAAAGCAGCCAGAGACTGTATGTAGAGATATAGGCATGGGCATATTTGCTCAGGCAGCAGGCCACGTTTGGTCCCCAGGCTATAGTTTATCAACCCCTGATCTAGCGGATGGAAGACTGTTAGCATATTGCCCGTAAAGAGCAGGAAATTAAATGGTTCCCTGCCAACAGCACTCCCAGACCCATCAGTTGTACAGTCTTCAAGAGAAAGACTTTGGAAACTTCTGAATCCTGCCTCCTTTTAACAGTTGTGCAGATTAATTCCTTTTAAATCTCTATTTCCTGTCTCATGATGATGATAGGAAGATTTTATCAAATAATCCATATGAACTCTCAGCCTAGTCCTTAGTGCATGGTGAATACTCAGTAAATACTCATTATTATTATATATCATGGGGCTTCCCAAGTGACGCATTGGTAAATAACCTGCCTACCAATGCAGGAGACGTGGGTTCAATCCCTGGGTCAGAAAGATCCCATGGAGTAGGAAATGATAACCCACTCCCGTATTCTTGCCTGGAAAATCCCATGGACAGAGGAGCCTGGCAGACTGCGGTTCATAGGGTTGCAAAGAGTTGGACATGACTGAAGATGCACAAACTATCATATATCATACAGTGCAAAAATGAAAGTTCCATGGAAGTTCTATGGACAAATAAATTGGAATATATTTTGGTGTGTCTCAGTGCAGACTGGGCTCATTAGGATTGTCTTAAGATTTGATTTGATTTGATTGGTAGCTGATGTTATCCCACTTCCTACATCTCCAAAAGCTTGTGCGTGGACTTCTCATTTGAAATGTAGTCCATAGTTGCTTGGCTAAGAGAATTCTTGTCCCTGTAACTACGCAAAGACAATTATTTGCTGCCTTAGAATTGGGTCACTCTGGCTTGACCCAAACCAGTAGCACTTATTCTTCATAAACTCATGGCACTACTAATGAAATGTGGGAATAATTAACAGAGAAATGAAGTCTGAAAAATGTTTTGTGATATTGTCTTCATTTTTTAAGCGTGTATATTAAAGTACTGAGGTTCTGAAAACAGAAGGCAACAGAACGGAAACCATGGTTCCTGACAAAGTCACCCCACAGGGATGTACCTCCCAAACCTTTCCTGCCAGTCTCTCTCACCATGGATCTTGGTCTCTATGCCCACCTCTGTGCAGACCACGGAGGATTTCTGAGGGACTCATAGCCTTTACTTCTGCCCAGCCTCTGACCCACAGTACTCATGAGGTTCTAATCATATGGTTCAGATTTTTAAAGGGACACAAATCGTGATGTTTCTGTCTGAGGAAGTTTGGAGACAAAGCATAAAGAAGTTACAGTTATATAATCTCATAGTCAGCCCCTTCTAACTCTCAGGTATTATTTGGTTTCTCCTAGACTCTCATTTTTTGGGTCAGTGGTAATCCTTAAGCTAGTTCCCTAGAGCTGCCGCAGCAACGTATCACAAACTGGGTCACTTAAAACAGCAGAAATGTGTAACCGTTCTGGAGACTAGAAGTCTAAATCAAGTTGTCAGAAAGGCAGTGCTCCCTCTCCAACCTGTAGGGAAGGAGTCCTTCTTTGCCTCTTATTAGCTTCTGGTGGCCTCTGGCATTCCTCGGCTTGTGGAAGCACCACTCCAATCTCTGCCTCCATTTTCACATCGCTGTCTTCCCTCTGTGTGACTGTGTCTTCACTAGCATCCTCTTCGCTGTGTGTCTCTCTTCTTCTTTTTTATAATTGTATTTCTTTACTGCTGGTTGCACTGGGTCTTTGTTGCTGCGTGTGGGCTTTGTCTAGTTGAGGCGGGCGGGGGCTACTCTGTTGCAGTGAGCTGGCTTCTCATTGTGGTGGTTTCTCTTATTGGAGAGCACAGGCTGTAGGTGCACGGGCTCAGTGGTTGTGGCCCACAGGCTTAGTTGCATGTGGAATCTTCCTGGACCAGGGATCGAACCTATGTTCGCTGCATTGACAGATGGACTCCTATCTTCAGTACCAGGGAAGTCTCTGTACCAGAGACCAGGGAAGTCTCTCTTCTTTGGAATCAGTCATATTGGATTAAAGACCTGCCTTATGCCAGTTTGACCTCGTCTTAACTAATTACATCTGCTACAACTCTTAATTCCTAATAAGATAACATTTTGAGGAACTGGGGTTCGGAATTCAATATATATTTAGGAGGGGGACACAATTTAACCCATAACACCATCTTTTAACTTTAGATTAACAGTAATTTATGACAAAGCACCAGCAGTGTGTAAAGCATCATGCTATATGCTAGGTTTCATTAAACAGTAATCCCTGTCCCTTTGGGGAGTCACAGTCTGGTGGGAAATAGTTAGATATTCCAGTTAAATCCTGGGAATCATTTGCAAGTCAGGGAGTTTTCTGGAGGCAAAATAGGACAGGCCATCACAACAGCTCAGAGGACAGGCTGACACTCAGACTTAGATGAGCTCTGAACTGGGCTCACAGCAGAGGTTCAGACCAACAGGCAGAATGAATGGCACTGGGATCCAGCCAGGCAAGCAACTACAATGTGAAAAGGAGAACCCTGGCCCCTGGAGTGGGGCCATAAGCTTCACTGACAGGACTGTGGCCCTCAAGAAGATGTACAGACAAGAAGACAACATTCCCCTCTTAACATAGGTTACTTGGTCATGAGCTGCTAGGGTGAGAAAGTTGCTAGCTTTAGCAAGGAAAAATACAGTGTGTCCAGTTGTTTGAATTTTCAGATTAACAGCAAATAAATTTTTGGTATGTCTCAAATATTGCATGGGCTATACTTATACTAAAAGAGGGAAGAGGGCTTATGTCATATTTAATCTGGCAGACCTGTTACGGGGAGGGGCTGACAGTGGGGCAGAAGTGGTCTCAGAAACTAATATACAAAAATCAGGTTATAAGAACAAGGGCACATTGGTAAACAAGGAAAAGAGAAG